TTGTAAGTTGCACAACACGCACAAACAAACTTGAGGTTAAGTGCTGCAATGCAGTAACAGGAACAGTGGCACAACTTTCTGCTCAGTTCCTAAAGAGCAACTAGCAATCACTTATTTTCACATTAACATTCAGAACACAGTTGTGTTTTAGATGACTATTTACTGAGTAGTATTTGCAGCATGGTGTGCTGTTTAAAACTGTCATCATGTTAGACAGCCGCTGGTGCATTGTGTATTGTAGTGCAGTAGTTTTAATGTGTCAGAAGTTCAGAAACACAGTTAAATGAAGACTGATATGAGGCCCTGCTGTTGCTGGAGGTTGTTCCTGTGGTGGTGTCTTCAGTCATCCTACAGTCTGCAGATCACACTCAGACTGAGCTGAAGGTCACAGGTGGAGGAAACATCAGTCCTGTTCTCATCAACCCCACCCTCTGTGGTAATGTGGTGCTGAAGGTGGGTCACACACACTGGAGTCTATTTCTCACTTCCAGCATGAAGAAATGGTTGACACACATATTTGACAGCCATTAGCATACAATGTTGACTGAGTTACATAACATAGTATAATAAATATAGCATAAATATATTATACAGTGAAACATCCTGTAATGTTGTCAATTTGTGACATTTAGTTAGTTTTTTTAATTAGACCTGTAGTTCCACTGAGTCATCCAGCTGTGGGAAATATCACACCTATCTGTGTTGACGTCTTTGCTGTGCTCTCCACAAACACAGGAGATTTTTTTTACTGAAAGGTAAAGTCTACAGATGTGACCACGTTACACTCTGGTTTAAAATTGTGTGCAATAGTCAGAAATATCCTCTTCCTGTTTTCTCTTTTCTGGATGATGATGATGACGAGTCCGTGTAGCCAGCCTCTGTCAGTGCGCCCCAGGGCGGCTGTGGCTACAACGTAGCTGCCATCACCAGTGTGTGAAAGTGTGTGTGAACGGGTGGATGACTGGTTGTGTAAAGCGCTATACAAATACAGGCCATTTACTCCACACAAACACACAGGCACACAGTCATTTCAGAGAGATGCAAAAGTCTGGACATAGGCACGCACACCCAGACCTGCCTGTGTTGTCAGTTATATTTGGAGGTGGGACGTGAAAGTACATTGAGGCAATTCAAACACAATCAACTTTCCAAAAGGGAAACATCTTATGCTTTTCCAGTGACGTGCACCTAATTGTATTTCCATGTCTGGTGCCATTCCCTTACATCTAAATGAAGCAATCTAAGCAATACTAAGTCTTTATTTGTTAACTACCCCAACACCTCTCCCTATTTAAAAGTTATATGCAAAAATAAGTTAATTGAAAGTGTGTAATTAGAAAATTATGTCTCCTCAGGTTCTCTATGTGATAAAGTACAACCCACAGGGTAAGATAGAAAATGCAACGGTGTCTGTGGTGCTTGGATTTGTAACTGAAGCTGTGCTGCATTTGGAACAGGAGTTTCAGGTCACGTACATCCAGGTAGTATATTCAAACAGACCTATCTATGTGTAATGGTTTATTTTTTTGGAACAATCAGTCAAAATGTTTTAGCCCCTCACAAAAGCTGGCTAAAATATCCTTATTTAAGTAGCGTGT